GTATTTACTGTACAAGCTATTCAGGGCGTAAACATGCAGTGCCTTCCAAGAAGAAAGCCGTGGTACATAATATATAATAAAAATACAATATACAGAAAAAATGTTTACAAATTCAAAAGTAAGTAATTAAAAACAATGATACGAAAGTAGGCGAATCTTTGTACAAAACTTATAAAAAGAGAAAGTACTGTATACTAGTTCATCTGATCATCTGATCTCTGCATACTTCCATTATCAGCCCAAACCGGGCTCAAACAAGAGCTCACAGTGTGGGATGCGATATCAAGTCGGATCTATTGATAATATAATACTTTCTATTGTTTTTTCTATATCTTACAAGTAAGGGCTTAACACGGATTAATATGAATGGCCTGTAGTTCCAGTTTTATTTTATTTCTCCATGGTGTGAAGTAGATACAGTAATTAAAGTACAAGGAGAAAGAAAAATATTCAGTTGGTGATTATGAATCCAGTAGATTGCCATTATACTAATACTGAGTAAGAGAATTAATATATTAATAATAGAATAATATATTATGTGGGAGTGAAACAAAATATATAAAGGTGTATCACAAAGAGCATATTCAAAAATTAAAAACCGTTTAATTTTCAGTTTCTAGAAGAAAATTTACGCTGTATTTTGTTACGAAGCAGAAATACATGTGAAACCCGCTATTTCATTATTCTCTATACTGGTCTTGCGAGAGATGCGTCCTATTCTACCTTAAATTCAATACAGTTTTGCAGTTCTATTGAACAATAAAAATGAAACACATATGGATACAATTGAATACAGCACTGGCCCTATACGAATTATATTTTCTGGAAGACTGAATTAACAAGGGATTTTTTTTTCATTCGAATTATCAGTTGAAAATGAAATGCAATATATTTTGCTTTATACATGTACTAGGCCTATGTAGAAAAAATTCAAATCAAGCAATTTTTTTTTCAAGATTATTTAATCATGGAGGAATTAATTTAGACTAAACTAATTCCTCCATGATTTTATTCAGGTGACAGCCGCAGTATATTTTTTAACCAAAGTGAACACCGGCTCCTTTTTTGGTTACGGTATGTATCTGTATGTACGTTACTAGTATTGTTACGCAGTTTTTTGGTAAACAGGCAAACGTGACTTTCCAGACATCTGTTTGTTTTGTGCGTCCGTACCCAAGCTAATCTGGATCTTTTGTTGTGCCCTATTTCATAGTTTTCTATTTTGACAAATTTAAAGCCATACTAATGAGAGACAATAGTAAACTGTATGATAAGAGGAAAACATTTATGGAATGTTGTGTACCGGCGTTGTCCAAACTGTCTTAAATGTGATGGATCGGACTCCAGGGACTTTCCTGGCTGGTATGCATATAAAACTTTATCTGCACTCCAAAAACCTCAATTTTATACTATTTGCAGTTTGGATAAGGTTCTACAGCAGACAGAATAGAATTGTGTTGTGTATGGAAGTGTTGTGGTTTGAAAAAAACATAAAACAAACTTGATACCTGACTGGATACAGTAATCCTTTTGCAAAATGAAAAAAAAATGATAGCCCAGAATGCCTCAAATGTTATGTTCGGGCGTCTAGAACACAAAAATTTCGCGGGGGCATGCCCCAGACCCCCTACGACAGTGTTATCTCAATCGGCCCAACTTATGGCCCCCGCTTCCGCCCCCCCCCTTTTGGACATTTCTGGATCCGCCCCTGTAGACTAACGTGTGTACAGTACGGTAGAGTGAAACCATTGTTGGCTGAGCTCTGACTGTGTCAGTGAAATATTTAACGAATAAGAAAGTAAAATTAATCCACCCGATCCATCCCGAAATAATCAGTCTCCTTATTATAAAATGTTTTCTTGTTTAAAAAAAAATGTATTCAAAATATCCGATCGCTTCCTCTGACCTGTAGAACCACCAAGATGGTACATTAATTGGTTGCCAGGCAACTACGACGAGTCGGGCGACCCCGAAGATACATGAAGCTCCTGCTGCAGTTCTTGGAATTTTAATGATTGTACCACAGACCATATTACTCCCACC